AGGAGGGAGATGTGCGGGTGGGTTACCTTATAATGGCGGTGGGAGGGCTGGAGGGGTTATTATGGAGAAGACGAGGCTGTTTCGTCCGTTAGTTTACTAACTGCTTTGCTGGAAGGGTTATTATGGAGGAGACGAGGCTGTTTCGTCCGTTAGTTTTACTAACTGCTCTTTTCCAGTCTCGCTTTTCCACGGAGGAGTTCAGGATGAATCCCACCTTGGTCCTCTTCTCTACACGTTATCCTCACGACAGTCTTTTGGTGGGTGGGCTAGGCTGAAAAGGGCTGCCCCAGGGTCGGTCGCCCCCATTAGAGCCTTGTGGCTTTGTCTCTAAACCCAGCGTTTTGGTCCCTTCAGCCCTGGAGAGACGCCAAGTGGAGAATAAGTCGTCCACAATTTATACCCAAGATGTATAAAGTCGAGCAACCAATTTATAGGCACTGTACTGTGAAATTGGTACCATTAACCGACCTGCTTCCATTCTTTGGTTGTATCTCCTTTGAAGAAATGAGCACAAAAGTGAATTTAAAAGGACCGAGGCTTGTACAGAATGCCTCAGGTGCTCCAGGGACCTTTAATAAGAACTTCCCAAAGTTACTTTTCTGGTCTGCAGCCCACATAATCTTCCAGCCAGCATAGCCAGTGCAGTACTGCTTGTGGGATACTGGAGGTACTGCAAAATTTTAAAACTTCCAGAGCTGTACTGAAGGCCTAGTATTCTTTCTGCCAACGGTGGCCAGCTAGATGCTTGAGGGAAGCCTCATCTTAAAGGCAACAGCCGTCGTCATTTATTCCCAGTGCCCACATTTATACTCTGTGTGAACATGGAGATTCCCTTTACCTCAGTGGTTTCCAACATTGGGTTCCCAGATGTTCTTGGACTAAAGCTTACAAAAGTCTTCACCACTAGCTGTGGGAATTGTAGTCCAATAACATCTGGAGACCCATTTTAGCTGAAATAGTCATGGATGGACCTCTGCCCCAGAATATTAAACTGCTCTCATGTGAGAGCAGGGGTTCATTCCAAGCTATATGCTAAGGTTCACTTATTGACCTGAGCCTCAGCACCTCTTCTGAAAAATTAACAGTTTATTCCACCTCTTTTGACAGTAATCAGTTGTAAAACAACAACAATGGCAAGTCCTTTGAGAAGTAAATCTGCAGAACTGAATGGTAGGACACACTTCTAAGGATAGGATGCTGTTTGCCATAATTCCCTGCAAAGTCTGTGAACAAATAAAGCTTTCCCAGATGTAAAGGTGTAGTAATACGGGGACCATTAGGAGCAGAAGCTGCACTGAAAAGCAGTGTCAACAACAATGCTGCAGCAGTGTTAGGCCATCCAATGAACTGAGGCAGTCAAGGGAAGGAACAGTAAAGCATTGATTGTAGCCACAAAAGGGACTAGGTGAACACTAGCAATAATTGAGTAGAAGTCAAATGTTCCAAATAGATGGCACAGAACGGGACTGATCACTTCCTGTAGAATACTCAGCAGCAACTGTCAGCAACTGTAAGCCTGTCCACACAGAACATTTGTTTAACTTTCTCTGCACCCATCATACCAATGACAGCATTCCAGTGTTCACACAATAAAGGTCTGAAATTAGTGTTAGCAGAGTCCAAGTGGGATAAAAACCTTTGCTTTCTGAGGGAATTAACATTGCCACTAGTGGTATTGGTATCTTGCTTTGCTTCAGCTTGCTCCAGTATTAGTACTGCATTGTTTGGGACACTTTGTGAGTCTGATGATGTTTTATTTTGGTTTTTCCCCCCTGCTGATTGATCTGCACCCCTCAACACTCCAGGGACAGGTAAAATGAGGAGGAAGGGAATTGAGAGTGCAGAAGGTGGAGAGAGGGCAGAGAAGACAGGCAAAAGAAGAGGGTTATCTGTATTGAACCTGAAACGATGGAACAATTTTGGATATATGCAGGTCCTGGGGCAACCCAGCACATCCCACTAGATCCAGCAACAAACTGGGGCAATAGATCCAACAGGAAATAATGTCCCCATGTGTAAGGACAAACACAGGAATGATCTATTCAAATCTACAACAACAGCAGCAAAAAAAATCCAGATTGACCTGGAACAACCCCAGAATTACTAAAGACAATACCGCTATTGGTATGGTTACCAAACACCACTCAGAATATGAGTCCTGAGTAGGTAAATTGCTCTCAGTTTCTGATACATACTATACATAGTGTAGAAAGAATGGAAATTTGACTCCCAAGGTTATTTATGAGAAACAGTTAATTAGATGGTCAAACACTTGTCTGTGTTATATGTTGGTTGAGAGAATCACTCTTATTTTCCTTTCCTCTTCCGCTTCCCAGGCTTGAGATGAGATGAGAGTGAGTGTTAACAGCTGGACTTTGTCTTGCTTAACCATGGGGATGCACAACAGCATTCTGTTTTTCTTTCCACTACTCCTTTCATTTAGGAAAGTTCACCAGGACAAAGTTGAAGAACCTGTGTAGACTATACTGTAGATTGAATCTTTGTTTCAAGGTTTAGCTTTTTTCAGTATCCATGAGCAGGTCAGGAAGGTGGGCAGGATGCCCAGAGTATAGTGCAAAGCAGACTTTTCTCCTCCCCCCCACTAGCTCCCACAGTTTGTGTCCTTGGAAACTTGGCTCCTTTCCACTTTCGTCTCAGCAAACCCTACAAACAAAGTAGGGGGAGTGGTGTGAATTTGTGAGTTAAAGATCAAAAATATTTATTTTCTGAATGTCTACGCAAGAAGATTTCTTTTTAGATGGGTTCTTACTACTATACATTTATGCTTGAGTTTCAGCTTCAAAACTTCTGTTTTTCCATGAGTATTTTTCCAAGGATAAAGAACCATAGAACACTCCTGTCTTAACCATTATGTGCTAGTGAAATTTAAGGAAGTTAGAAACCTATCCCATGTAATATTTTGCATTCCATATTGTGATCTTTATTCTTTGTTTATATATATCTGTATGCATGCAGGTGCACATATGAATGCTGTATCACGTTTCAGAGCAATGTAGTTTGACAGTAAAATCTCAAATGTACAGAACATTTTTATATTTTATGGACAAACAGCAGAGAAGCAGACAAAACAGCCTTCACAGAAATTGAATACTACTGGGCTTTCATTTCATTACCTTTGAAGTTTCCTATATATAATTTCTGTTTACCATCTTGACTTTGCACCAGTGCAGACAAATCCTATTCAGCTCTCAGTTCTTTTTTATATGTAAACCTCTGTGTCACTGTCTGGAAAACAAAGTACAGTAGTATCCAGAATACAAGTGCTAGTCAACTCAGTTCTAATACAAATCAACCATAGTAGGACTACAGTTGAACATTAAGACAGAAATCGTGACAACAGAAGAATTACTCAGCTTTAATGTTGACAGTGAAGAAATTGAAATTGTTAGAGTTTGTATACCTTGTTTCAAACATCAATCCAAATGGAGCCTCCAGTCAAGAAATCAAGATTGTTTTCAAGAGCAAACTTAAGACCTGGCTCTTTAGGCAGACTTTACCTCCTGTCACTTGAATATTTTTCCCATCTTGAACTGTATTACTACTGTTGTTTTTTAAATTATATTATATTGTTTTATCTATTATTGTTTGGCGTGCAAAGCAGACTTTTCTCCTAGACAGCTTTAATGTTGACAGTGAGGCTTGTTTTCAAGAGCAAAGACTATGGTATCGTGCTCTGTATGGAGGACTTGGAACAGCGTCTAGTGTGGCTGAGGAGGCCAATTCGAGAGAAATTGAGAAACAGGAGAGCAGTAATGAAGGATTTGGAAAAAAATAATCAAGTGTAAGGATGTGTCATTGGGGATCTAAGTCAAGATCATTCATACTGCTGTATTCCTGATTATTATGTATGGATGCAAAAGCTGGACAGTGAAGAAAGTTGACAGAAAAAAACAGATTCATTTGAAATATGCTGTTGGAGAACTTTATAGATACTCAGACTGCCAGAAAGACAAACAAGTGGGCCCAAGAGAAAATGAAGCCTGAATTTTCTCTGGAGGCAAAAATGATTTAGGAGGTCATTCAGCCTTGAAATATTGAAGTCCTGCTGACTTATTGGCCGACTTAGACAGCTGACTTATTGTTGACCTACATAGTGTTTTTTATTGTATGCTTTCCTTGTATGAACCACCCAGAGAGTTATAACACTAAGGTGTGGTGTAGATGTGGAACTAATAAATAAGAGGGAACTTTTGTAACCTATCTATGGCCAGAGACAGCATGATTCAAGCAATTGATAGAGAAGCCTGGAAGTGGAGTCCAGTCTAGGTAAGCACAGTTTTTCAGCAAGAGAAGTGCTATAAAAATTGGATACGTATTTGTGCTTGAAGCCTTAGCCATTTTAATTCTGTACGCTGAGAATATCCAGAATAGATACAGCAGGAATTTGTATAATTGAACTTTGAAAGTGATGTACTGTATTTACAGTACTGTACTAGGTTAGCCTAGTAGTGTGATACTGTCCAGTCAACAAATGCTTTCATTGAGTGATTCAAGAACACTTTCACAAAAAGCCTAAAACAGGGGTAGACCCTCTCCCCCCTCTCTCTCCCTCTCCTCTCTCTCTTTCTCTCTCTCTCTCTCTCTCTCTCTCTCTCTCTCTCTCTCTCTCTCTCTCTCTCACACACACACACACACACACGCACACACACACACACACACACACACACACACACACACACACACACACACACACACAATCCACTACTGCTTTCCCATCAGTATTCTTTTTCAGCAGGTAATCTGTGTGTGCATGTGCACTTATAGACAACTGTATATTGAATAACTGCCTATTAGGAACCCATATGATATGTTACAGAGTGCCCAGAGATCTACCAATCAATTTCAGTTCAATCTTTTAATCTACCTTCTGCCAACCTCTCAGTTAAAGAATTTTTGTCTAAATTGCTTTTAAATGCAAAACCTAAATTGCAGAGGATGTTTTTTTGAGTAACAAATGTGGTGCTTCCAGTTTCCCAGCCACTTTGAGAACAACTGAACTAGCCAGCAAAGAGCAAAGGCAATTTCAGCTTCACAGGTGAAATCATTTAAAGTTGATATTATGATTGGAGAAAAGCAGACAGTGGAAGAATAATTCTGCTCTGTTTTTGAAGTGTTTTGAAGAGTGACCAGAGATGGGGATATTTGTTATGTCCGCAGAGCTGGACGTAATGAGGGTCTGGCCCCCTGGGGTAAGACCGTTCACTCACACATCCACTGCTGCCGCCAGCTCCACTCT